TCTTCTCCCTCACTCTCAGTCACAGCATCACCGATCGCCTGAGATCCGTAGTAACATACGACTTATGCACTGATCTACTTCTTTCCGGCTGGCCTGCGGGAATATCTCGCCTTCTTCCTCGTCTTGAGGCAGCAAGTTGTTATACAGTGCCTGTAGCACTGAAGCCGCCTCAGACCGACGCTGACGAATCCTTAACGTCGAAGCATCGTATAACCGCTTTGCCAGCTGGCCGCCTTCCTTTTCCAGAGAGCTGAGCACAAACTTCATAGCAGCTTCGGCTACTAACCGTCCAGTTTCTCTACGGCACAGGGCCTCTCTGCTGCGGCTCCCAATTGTATGATGCTCAGGCACCGAACAATCTCTCGCGCCATGTCGATCTCCCGATCACTGGTCATCTGAATATTTTTGTTACCGTGTAAAAGGTAACAGGAAAAACCACGTGTATATACAGACCGAACGGCCTGCCTGCCAGTGCGGAACTGACTGGCCGGCCCACACTCACCCCACCCCAATCCGGCGCGGCGTCAGCGAACAATGGGGCCGGGTCGTCTTCTCCACAGTAGACACCCGCCGCCGAGTAATAACCGCCGCCGCGACGGGTCCACGGGGCATGCTGCTATAACTGACTCACACTCTCACACTAACACTAACACACTACACCTCCACCTGGCCCTAAGGTGCCACACTCATGTGCGCTTGCGGCGCGGCGGCCGGCGCACATAACCCACATGCCCCAAGACGTCCGAACTGACCTCCGCCTCATACAGGGTCGGCGCTGGGCGACGTGCCCTCTCACTCCGACGAAGCGGAGTCTGACCGCACACGTCGCCCGTGCCATTGTCCTCGGCCAACACAGCTGTTGTGTCTCCTCGTGTGTGACGCACCGGACACTCGGGAAGACTCCCACACTGAGTGTATTTGCGGTACTTACATACACGAGCGGAAACATTCACCCCTCCAGATGATGCCACTGTCAACTGACAGCTCATCCCTGATGTTGAAGTAAGGCAGTGCCTCGGCGGACCTGTGGGACTTCTCAGGCAAGCCACGTTGAATGAGATCCCTGAGAAACGCACTCGTTGGATCCTCTTCCGTGTGTTCTGCGATTTCCCGAACTTGTGGCTGCGAGATCACGGTGAAGTCCACAGCACGCAGGATCTCCGCTTCTTCCTCGGTGCGCGTTCGGACTGCGGTTGGAAGGAAGTGTCGGCCAGGTACATGGTAGTTCCCTGCTGGTAGCGGATGTCGACGTGGTAACACAGGAGACGCAGAAGTAGACGCTGGAGACGCCTGGGGGTGCTCGTCAGCGGTTTCCGCGTGATGGCGACCAGAGGTCGGTGGTCTGTCCACAGGACGACTCGGCGTCCGAATGTGTAATGATGGTGACGCTCGAGACCGAACACGAGGCTCAGTAGCTCCTTTTCGATTTGCGCGTAGTTTTTTTTTCGAAGTCAGTGCTCGACTGGCGAACGAGAGTAGCTGGCCATTCTGCATCAGGCAGAAACCCAGGCCTGCGAGGAAGCGTCGGCTGGACCCCCAGAGTTGCCTTGGGGTCGAAGAACCGCATAACTGGTGCATGGGCGCCAACCGTTTCACCTTCTCGAACGCTTCATCTTGTCGGTGAGTCCACTTCAAGGTTTCCTGGTTGAGCATCTGTCGAAGAGGTCGAAGACTCGGCTGACAGCTGCGGGCAGATCTTTGCCAGATGGTTTGCCATGCCCAGGGACCGGCTGACACCTCCTTCGTCTTCAGGGTGTGGCATCTGCTCGACTGCGTCCATCTTGTCTGGAGCTGGCTTCAGTCCCTGACCCGACAGGACGTGTCCGTTGAAGGGAGTCGTGTACTTCTTAAGCTCCAGCTTAATCAGGTTGAGTTTGATATTTCTGATCTTCAGCTTTGTCAGTAGAGTCAGCATGTTGTTGTCATGATCTTGCTCAGCGGCCTTTCTGTCTGATCCACGTCCCTCCATGAGCAGAGCGTCTGCCACTCGGTTATTCCAGGTAGACCTTGAAGTTGCTGATCCAGAAGCTGCTGAAAGCATTCTGGAGCTGGCGAAACACCAAATGGGAGGCGTTTCCAGCAGTATCGCCCCCAGGGTGTCTGGAATGTTATGAGCACTTGGGACGATTGCGAGAGACGCACTTACACCAAGCCATTCTTCAGGTCGGTACGAGAGAACACTTTTGTATCAGCGAGCTCCGACAGGATGTCCTCAATGACTGGCAGGGAATAGTGTTCTCGCTTTAGCGCTTGATTCAGGTGCATTGGATCGAGACATACTCGGGGTCCTCTGGAGGCCTTCCTGGCGATAAATAGAGCTGACATCCAGTCTTGGTTCCGTGACCTTGCGTATAATGTCTTGTTTTCCCAGTCTTTCCAGTTCTTCCATGAGGGTTCATGACCAGGGACACTAGCCTGGGTGGCATGATTTGAGGTGTTATGGATTGATCCACCCAAGTTGACCCAAGTTCCCGAGACCTGTGACGACCTCTTTCGTTCTTGATCATCTCCATGGTGAGAGGCTCTATCTTGATTGCTGCAATGTTTTCATGGCAGACTTCGATCATGTTCATTTTGAAACTAGTAGGCAGACCCAGGAGTGGGAGGTGGTTGCCCTTGACAACGACGAATCCCTCTTCAAACCGCTTCGCGTTGACGGGATTGATGGGTTTGAGGCGAGTGCATCCCACGACATCCAGTTGAGAGCATCTATAGGCAAAGAGGGTTGGAGATTTGCAGCGTATCTTACATGCTGCGGAGACCAGGTGTCCACATAAGACATTGCACATTTGACATTTATAATCGAATGCTTTTTGACACATTTAGTGAAACACCCTGTATGAACTGGAAATTTTCAGAGTGACGATGGTCGGTGCGCTGTGTGAAATATGTTCGTCGTTTAGTTTCCCGTGTATATTTCACTGCATTGGTAGTTAGAGCAAAGTGATTGCAGAAGCAACACTGGCTAACCCGTATGACCAGGGGGGGGGGGGTACATCAGCCCTCGCACCCCGTACATACAGACGCCAACGTAATTTATGATATGCTACAGAAGTTAATGCATGTGTTGCGTTTGGTTATTTGTTTGACCAAGTGTTGTTGCTTAAAATTCATTGCGTTTTCCGTATAAAGAAAATTATTCGTAGACCTTACAATACCGGTGTCCCTATTAGGCGTTGAGCTAAACATCTTGTAAACTGCATCTTTGAAAGTGGATTTGGACGAAAGGAAACCAATTGTGCAATTGTATCGTTTCATGCTGAAATAATAATACCGTTGCCAAGGCCCTAACCGTTGCTAATGTTTTATTCTTAAATGACCCCGCGGTACCTGGCTCCAAACTGGTAATCCTCAGTAATGTGTGTCGCAGACAGAACAAAGTCAGCATACCCTTTAGACACTTTTTGAAAGCAGCTGTCTGGTAGGGGTCAATGAACCGGTACCATCGATAGTGCTAAATTGCCTCTACCATCCATTGTAAGATCAGGACACCGTTCATACGATTCCACATCTGCGTCGATCATCACAAATTTAAAAAAGCAAGGGATGCCGGATTGTGTCCACACTGTCGTATCACGGTACACACCATAGATATGGCGTCATAGGATCATTGATCACATGTAAAGAAGTGTGTCTGTCACTATTATAGCGTCATGCAGTCATTGAATGTGGTCAATGTGCGAGTGTTTTTTGGCTACAGCTTGGCACGGATGAAGCAAGTGGTAGTCTGATGTTCGTGCAGACATGCGTTGTCTGTGAATTTGCTAACCGTGCTTTATTTTGTGCGCTGGGTGTTGGAACACACGTATGTGTCACACTGTTGGGAGCTGGCTTGTCACTTATCCACAATATAAGTGTACACTTGTACCTTTATTATGAGACGCCCTGTGAGAGGCTATGTCACAGCAAGCCTGCTGTGAATCTGGGAATCTATGAATGGCGCTTTGCTGTCGTTAGGAATAATCCGTTGATGACTTTTGAGCTGTCACGCGAAATCACTATAATGTGTGCATCATGCTTAATTGTCAAATTTAATTGGCAATATACGGATGCTATTGTTTTTATGTCAAATTTGTTTTTATCCCCTCAAAATGTTCCTGCCGTGTTTTTGCTTCAATTGCCCCCATCCAAAAGTTCGCTTCGTAGTTTATTATTGGTTTGTCTGTTGCGCAGACTCTTCTGGTTTTCACGTAAGATATTAATGTGTTTATGGGTGTTCCACCATATCACCTTTTATGAATGTGCATGGTGCTAAGAATATAATGAAATCATTGAATACATGTATGTTGTATATCGAAAATCTTTGCTATATTTTGTTGAATAACAGCGCTTAACTATGTATGTATTTGTAAAATTATGCATCCGGTGGATGGAAAATGATCTGATGAAGTGTTCTTGATACCTATTGTTCTCCGAGATTCCCCAGTTATCTTCAAAAGTTTGATGGGGTTCAAAAAACTGTTACTGATGACGCTTGCGCAACAGAAAGCCTGGGACAATAACAAAAATAATCTGGCATGCAGTGCTGTCGTTCGATATCGTTTGAGGCATCTCTAACGACCGCCATTTGTGTCGCCTTGGACCGTGGGTGAGGGCGGTGAGGCCCAGTGCCACTGATCCCTCTGTCTGCACGCGATACACGCGTCACGGCCACCGTTCTACGACAGTGGGGCACTCACTACACTCGTCAGCGACCTGGACACTCACTACACTCGTCAGCGGCCGCCCCCCGTCGGCAGGCGGCCAACCAGCGGCCGGCCCGCCGGGGAACTTGATGACGTCAGGCGACTCCGGACGCAGCCCGTCAAAAGCGGTGTCGGCCGGGAGGGGGGCACAGAGTCGATAGCGGAGCGGTGTCGGCGGCAGCGCGTCTCCCCTACAGTGGTGTGTTCCGGCCAGTCATGTGCTCCATTCAGCTGGTGTCGGTGCTACTGGCGCTGGTCGGCGGGCCAGCGGCGGCGGCGGCGGCCGCGCTCAGCCGCCGGACGGCCGCCGGCCAGCGGCTGACGGCCGTGCCCGCCGGCCTGGAGCGGCACCCGGCGCTGGCGCGGCTCGATCTGCAGTTCTGCGGCTCCGGCTCCGAGGCGCAGGTCAGCCGTGGCCCGCTCGGCTGCGGCTTCCCCGTGGTGGGCGACCACCCGTGGCTGGTGGCGCTCGGCTTCCAGGGCCCCGGCGGCGGAGCGGCGCGCTTCATGTGCTCGGGGGCGCTCATCAGTGACCAGCATGTCGTCACATCGGCCCGCTGCGCGCTGGGCGTCGGCAGTCTGCATATGACCACTGCGCGGCTCGGCGAGTACGACTTCCACACCCGCCGAGATTGTCTGTGGTATGCGCCGGATCTGTGCACCGAAGCGGTGGACGTGCCTGTCGGCAGCATGCTGGTCCATCCAGAGTTTGAAAAACACGGAAATGACGCCAGTCCGTTCGATTTGGCTGTGGTTCAGCTATTGAAGCCCATCAAGCCGCACTATGGCGTTCTTCCGATCTGCCTGCCCATGTTCCCGCCCCGCCAGCCTCCGCACCGGCAAGTGGCGCTGACGCTGGGCCTGTCGGGCGGGCCGCAGCCGGAGGGCGACAGTGCTGCCACCTGCTGCCAGTGTGACCGCGACCGCAGCGCCACTTCGCACGTGATGGACGCCCAGCGTCTGGACGTGTTCAACGCGTCGTCGCCGGCCGGCGCGGGCTGTGCGTACCGGCTGCTGTCGGAGCGGCCCGGCCGGCCGGCGCGCTGTCTGGGCGCCGGTGCGCCGTGCCGGGCCGACCTGGGCGGCCCGCTGGTGGCCGCCGACCGGTTCGGCACCGCCTTCTACCTGCTGGGCGTGGCCAGCGTGCGGCCGGCGCCGAGCGAGTGCGGCCGGCCCGGCGCCGCCGTCACGTACGCGCCCGTCCAGCCGCACGTGGCCTGGATCCTGGACAGCATCGACCGTCTGGCGTAGCGGCTGCGGCCGGCTGTGCCCTCAGACAGAGGCAGCTGTGGTAGTGTCACTGCACTAAGTGACCACACTCATCAGCCGAGCCGAGTCCGGACATTGCTTTGGCGAGGTTGGCGATGGCTATACCAAAGAGATCACTCGTATTTATTGCTGCTGTTATGTCTTGTGTGATTTTGAAGTCACTGGTTTATTGTTCCTATGTTGTCAGTTTGGGCATTCTCTTAGAATGCGTGATGAGTTGATGCTTGCGGTTTTAATTTGAAAGAGGGCGGTGCTTTAAGTATCGGACTGTCAACCTTTTTCAGATGCGAATTGCGCCATTCATTAAACTGCTTATGTACGAGTATGCTGATGATGACTTGTGATAAGGTTTATGTGACCCTGAATTGTTATGTTTTTACTGTTTGTACATGTTTAGAGAACAAATTTGTAGACAAGAAATAAATGTACTCCAAAATATAGTATTCATGCCATTTTCACATTTCGGAATCACCTGCGTGGGCTCTGACCAGACGGTTCACTTTTATTCACACATCAGGGCACTCGCTGTGCTAACTGCTGGACTTCCCATTCTCAGTTGATCTAACATACCGTCCTGTTTCCGCTTCCACTCTAATTGAATTTACATACCGCCCCTTTTCCCGCCCGCCCTCAGTTGAATTTACATACCGCCCTGTTTCTGCCCATCCACAGTGGACGTAACATAGGTACCTACCAGTTACCACATTGGTGAAAGCGGTGTAGGCAGACGTGCGGACATTAGCTCCAGAGGTGCACCACAAGCGAGTGCACCCACCACCTGACTACTCGGTCGGAACACATTCGGGACACAGTCGAAACACAATGCGGGATTTTACAGAAATGGTATGACCCCAGGTGAGAACTGCACCTCACACCACATCGTTGACGGCCTGTGACTTTGTTGATGTCATCGGCTGTAAACGCGTCAAATAATGAGCAATGCGCGGAAGCTGTAAATGGTAGTCACAGATACATCAAAAGTCCAGTTTGTGCTCGTTCGTGATGTTAAGAAAGGTTGAGGCATTTAATATGAAGATTTCATCATTATTCCTTTTTAGGGGACTTCCCCTCCTCCTCCGCTCTGATTTCACAACTTATTAGTATTAAATATGGTGATGAAATTGACCAATAACATGGCAGTGAGGTGTATTTTTATATAACAAAATAAGGCCGAAAATATAGAACAAGCTTTCGTCTTACATCATCAGGTTCTGGCATTGACCTATAATAAGTATAGACAGACTACACTGGCTTAATCAGCGCCTGAAGGCCGTTCCCGCTGAGCGACACTAGCGCCACCGTGCGTGTAAGGGCACGAACTAATGACACAATGCTTTGTCTATGGGAAAAACGCAAAAGTTTATCAACTTCTTTCGCGTAAATAACACGACGGAACGGAGCGAGACTGCATCTACAACGTAGAAGCGTCCGGGACTTTGCCGGTCCCGTAGCTCAGTTGGTAGAGCGTTGGACTCCGCGTGGTGAGAGCACGCGTTCCCGGTTACAACAGTCCGGGTTCGAAGCGCGACGGGCGCTTGACATTTATGGGCCTCCTGACAGGTATGGTTGCGGTTGGTGGCAGGCCGTAGCCAGGTGAAGTCAGTGAGGGGACCGGCCGTGCGCGGCTATGTGCGCACGTTAAACTTTGGACTCTAAATTCTGCCATAGAACTGGAATTGCGCGATCGGAGGGTAGAGGGCAGGGTCACCGCAACAAGCTTCGCTTAGCGGTGGCTCTGTCCTTGTGAATCCTTCCCATCAAAAGGTTCGGAAGAAATTTATAAAAAAAAGCTTAATCACTTGAACATAGCACAAAGTCATAGGGTGAGGGACACGGCACGCGCCACGTGCCAACTAAGTGGTGACAAATTTGTTCGATCAACAAAAACTTTACAACGACTGGGTTGATTGAGCTGAAACTTGGCATGTCGTTGGACATGCAAATGATGATGCATTTCCACGTGTCACGGTTTGGGTGCTGCTGCACGTGCGCACGTGCAGGGTACGCTTCCAGATCTCGAGAACGGCTACGCCGATTGCGCTCAAATTTGGTACGCCGTTAGGGACCGTTTGACAGGGTGCCGTGCACAAGTCAGTTTGAGTCCAGCTTGCACGTGCGCACATGCAGGGGTCGCTTCCACATCTCGAGAGTGGCTGGGCAGATTGTGCTCAAAGTTGGTACACCGTTAGGGACCGTTTGGCAGGGTGCCGTGCACAAGTCAGTTTGGGTCCAGCTTGCACGTGCGCACGCGCGAAGAGTCGCTTCCACATCTCGAGAACGGCTGGGGAGATTGCGCTCAAATTTGGTACACCGGTAGCGACCGTTTAGGAGGGTGCCGTGCTCAAGTCCATTTATGTCCAGTTTGTACGTGCAAACGAGTGGGGCCACTTTCACATCTCGAATGAGCGGCTTTGCCATTGCGCTCAGAATCATCATTTCTAGATCCGTTAACCCGCGCCCTGGTGGGGTCTGTTTATAACGCGACCTGGTGGGGGGGGGGGGGGGCTATTTTTTGCCCCCCCCGTATCTCCGAAACTACTGGACGGATCCGCAAAATTCAAACGGCGTTCGATAGCCCTGTCAAATTTGTCGAGGGAAACCAAATTTTATTGACCTCGGGGTCACCGATGACGTCACAGGTCAGGTCAAAGATAAAATGTTTCACCGTTCACGGGGCTTCTAGGGAAAGCGCTATAACACCGAGTAAAACGCATTTTGTCGAAAATCAGCGATAAGACGTCAGTTGTCTAGTACATATGTTGCTATTAGAGGTCACTGGTCATACCAGGTCAGGTCACAGGTCAGGTCACCAAAGGTCACCAAGGGTCACCACATGAACCCAACTTTACTAAGGTTGTGCAATGCATGTTTTATGGCCAGTTTTTCATTTCCAACCCAATGGTGTTGGTTATAAGACCATCAGGTACGGTTTAGGTCACTTTCTGGTGGAGGTCAGGTCAAGGTCAGGTCAAAAAAGGTCAAATTTCAAAGTTGATATTTTTGCATAAAAAGGGTATCGATTCGATGCAGCTCGTCACGGGGAGTCTAATGGTGGTCTTTGTTTTGCACTACGAGGTCTAGAATTGCTAAAAATTGAGTTTGAAAATTTGACGTCATCAATTTTGAACAGTTTTTTCGCTATAACTTCGCCAAAAAAAGAGGTATCAATCTAAAATTTGGTATGTGGATGGAAGGCGGTAAGGACTATCACATATATTCCGGTTTTTGCGAAATTCAAAAAACTTTTTGGATTTTTTGACTATTATATCTCAAAAAATCTATTTTTTTGATTTTTGGGGGTCAAAATAAAAAAAATCAAAAATCCGAGATAGCAGTTTTGTAGCCCTGTCAATTCTACAGCCTTTATGTTCTAAACATTTTTCTGTATTTGCAAAGCTATAGGCCTGACAGCTCTTCCCGCGAAACCCTTTTTTGGGTCAAAAACGGCAGAACATGACGTCACTCTGACGTCATTTCCGGCCAACCTATCATAGCTTTTGGAAAAAAATTTTGGTCACAATGTGTAAAATTGATGTCCGGGAGGGTACTGAAAGTTTGGTGACGATCGGCGCAGCGGTTCTGGAGATATATCGAAAAGTCTGGAGGGGGGGGCAAAAAATAGCCCCCCCCCCACCAGGTCGCGGGTTAAAGGAGCTTCACTATCACGTAGTTTTGCAGGTCTCATGCGCGTTTCTCTTCATGATTGCAAGTTCGATTAATACAGGTTGATAGTTGATTTAACATTATGTATTGTGTATTTAAGATGAGTGGCGATAGACTCATACCAATCTGAGTGCACATAATGATGCATCATTTTATTCACCCATGAGCCTCTTTAACCCGCGCCCGGGTGGGCCTTTCAGCCAACTTCGCCATAGTGATGGGAGGAGGGGGGACATATTTGTCCACGCCATATTATCTCGCAAAGGAAGAAAGATAGAAAGATGCGGAAAGGGCAGTAGGTAGCTCGCTATAAGAACTTTGAGAATCATCTAGACAATTTTTCAATCAGGTCATCGCTAAAGGTCACTGTTGATCACCAAAAGTTCATGAATTCTGGTTTTCGATTTTAACAACGTTCCACAAAGCAGCGCACACACAAGTAAATGAGGGGCCTTCTGCTCTTGTGCACTTATGTTGAGCCACGCAAGAAATAATTAAGCCAGTCTTTAGCAGGTCACACTTGGTAGGCATTTCGACTGTTGCAGTCTTGCTGAGCTTCCATTCAGTTTTCTTGACGGCTCCAGCCTCCATCATGTTTAATTGCAGTAGCAACTTACAACTTAACTTCGTCAATCTTTTTTACTTTAAATGTTGGCCATAAGTCGGGCTATGTCTGGTTCAGTTGGCAGATGAATTTCAGCGCACACCAGAAGCCTTCCAGCAACAGGAACATAGGCCTGTGCCGGTAGACCTTGGGTAGACCTCTTCCAAACTGTTTCTTATGACATTTGTTAAGATTGCAAGTGTCTCTCAGTTTTTTCTTCTCTTGACTCTAGCCATTATGATAAAATTATCAGTGTCTGACTGCTCTAGCAGATAAACAGGATAAATTTAAAGAAAATGAAATAAAATGCTTTAATTACATAAATACCAAATATCTCAGATCACACTGCTTGAAATGCTTGCTGTAATAACGTAAGTCAATTTTATCGCCTTGAAATGATTCACTTATCACGTGCAATATGTGCTTGTTATTTGTTTGTGCTCTTTATTGGTGACAAACTATCTTTTCTTGTTTAATATGCACAGGACTGTCAACACACCTTATGCAATTTGCAATGCGGCAACAATAAATGATGCCGAGGACTTTGTTTATTCCGTTACCATGGAGACGATTTCGTAAGGCTTGACTTCAAACCTTAAACGTTTAAATAAATGTTTTGTAGTAAATGTAAGCGTTCTAATACACATTTAAAAATAAATTAACGTTAAATATTTAACAAACTATTATTTCTACGTCCGTGCTTAAAGGTTAGGATTGCCCTTATCCTGCGCTGTAATTTCAGAAAACAATTTGCTTCTTTGGTCGACGAGGAACGCCGCAAAGACGCGAGTAGTTCGTCTATACTTATTATAGGTCAATGGGTTCTGGGACCGATTCGCGTTGGCGCACTAAGGCCCCAGTGACACTTGATTTCAAGCGTCACTATGCGATTTCGGTTCGCGCTGAGCCACTAGCCGATTGGTGTAAAATACCGCTTAGTGTCACTACATTCAAGTGTCACTTGGCCGCCTAGTCTTACTACCTTCCTAGTGCGCCATCTCGAATCGGCCCCTGGTCTAGCCGAGGCAATCACATTTGAAGAATTGAAACGGAACCAAATATTCACACGTGCACATTGGCCCAGATGGCTTTTGGAGGTCATGTAGCGATACGCATTGCGCAATTGAGGCGTATACTTAACACAACGCATTGCGCAATGAGGCGTAGGTATGCGCAAGCGCTACATTGACATGACCTCAAGAAGCCATCTGGGCCAATGTGCGTGCACGTGTGAATATTTGGTTCCGTTTCAATTCTTCAAATGTGATTGCTTCGGCTAGACCAGAACCTGATGATGTAAGACGAAATCGTGTTCTATATTTTCGGCCTTATTTTGTTATGTAAAAATACACTGCCATGTTATTGGTCAATTTCATCACCATAATTAATTATTTGATCATGGCTAAACCGACCA